TCCCTAAAAGTTCTGTTTTATCCGTAGTTGGTAAGAACATTGTTGAAACAAACAAAATCTAAAAAGGGTTGCAAATTTTATTGCTTTCCTACCCCTATTCCTTTTTTCTATCATTCAATATATATATATATATAAATATAAATATTTTACTTACGAGTGCATCCAATCGTAATTTGGTTTATTGTTTTCTTCTTTATTATGTTTTATTTTTTATTCCTTATCTTCATTCAATTTTGATGAGTTAGACGATTAAGAATTTTACATAACACGAATAATCTCCCATCAAGAATTTCGTACGGCATAAATCTTTTCTTCGTGCGAACGAAATTTTTCTATCGTGATCTGAATTGCCGACGTGAAGTAAAATGTTAGTAGTATATATTAAAAGAAAAAGAAAAAAAAAAGAAATAACAGGAAAGAATTAAAACAACAACAACAACAACAACGAGGAAGAAAGATGGGAGGATAAGAATTTCGCGTTTTACATCAGTCGAATGCAAAATATTTCCGAGAAAAAATGAGTGTATTTTTACTTATTTCTTTTCTTTCGTTAAATTTACCTAGAGAATAGGAACAAAATTACTAGGGGATTGGATGAAGGACGAAAAAGGCTTTTTATACGTTTCTCTTACTTTTAACAATAACGCTATGATCTCGTTTGATCATCGTCCGCATTAGAAAAATGCAAATAAAGTATTCGAATTCGGAAAGGTCAGGGGTTGAGGGATGTTATGACGATGAGGAAAAGCGTTTGCACACCAGGGAGATACCAACCCACCACCACACACCATCGTCATGCTCGCTTAACGGTGCATTCCAATTAACGTCGGTTGATAAACGACCGCTATTAGCCGCTTAGTTTGAAACTTTTCGAGTTGAAGCGCTCGTTTCTAGCGAATCCCAGGCGTGCATTTGCAAAATAATCGAATTAAACTCGATCATACGTTTCTTCTATTTTTTTCTTTTCTCTTTACCCCTTTACCCCCCATTTTTTCCCTCTTTTTTATTTGTATTTTTTCATTTTTCCTTTCGGTCAACAGCGGCGATGGAGGTCCCTCGACTAATTTTACAAAGTGGTTCGTTAGGATGATTTTGTTGGTTTGATTTCTTTTTTTTTTTTGTTCGTTGTTGTATTTTTCTTTCGTTCTCCTTTTTATATTGTATTTCATTTTTATGTTTGCGACATAAATTGAAAATCACTTGTTTTATTTTCATTTGCGGGTTTCGTTGATAATCGAAATAAAAGGGTGGATTTCAATATAGATCCAACTTTTATCACAGACAAATTGGTTAGACATATAATTGTCTTTGTTTTAAAATTGATCGAGAGTAATAAAATAAAATTAAAAAAAAAATGGGTTTGTCTCGCGAATATAGTCGTCGACGATTCAGGACAACACGCTCGTACTCGCGCGCACCCGCGTACACTTAGCCCTGGGTCATTTTAAAACGGCTGCTGGTGCTTCTACAGCGGTGCAGTGACGTGCTGTTTCGCTGTGAATCACAATTATATTGCCGTAATAATTCACATATAATTGTTGGCTGGAAATGAGATCGCGTCCCCAGGTCTCACAGGTGGCGACAATAACGAAAGAAATTTATTGAGATAAATGGAAAGCTGCAAATAAAAGTGAACAACGAGCTTTCCTAGCAAGCACCTACCTACCTACCTAGCTAGCTACTCGAATGTCACCAACTCTTTAAAAGCACTCTTGTAAGAGCGTTTGTTATTCGTTGTCTCGAAAATTCTCACCTTACCTTACCTTTCAACGTAAACTTTTTTTTCAATTTTTTGTTCTTTTTTGCTTCTTTACCAACACTCCCTGTCCCCTTTCCCCTTTATTCGTTTCATCCTTCATCATTCATTTCTCTCTCTCTCTCTCTCTTTTTATCCTTTTTTTTTCTTCTTTTTTTTTTTAATTTAATACAATTTTCAAACGATTATCCATCCATTCGAATAAAGTTGTATAAAGAAAAGAGTTTCTCATTGCTTCGACAATTATAATATTAGTAAGAGAAACACCTTTATTTATTGCACGCGAATACGCGCCCCATGAAATTAACATCTTCGTTTCATTCAACTTCCCTACTTTCCCTTCCTTCCTTCCTTCCTCCCTCAGCAAAAGGGAATTTTCATTTGAATAATTTGCCAGGGCAGCGGTGTCTCGACGTTTTACCACAACGTAAAGTGCCTGAGTTGCGTCGAAAATTACGTATGCGATATATCTATGAAATATCAAAAATATACACCCTAGTATATATTTCTTTGAAGATGACCATCCCCTATCATCAGCAACAGCAACAGCAACAGTAACTAACGTTGGGAAGATACTTTGAACAACGTGGTCAAATGGAATTTTCAAATCATTATCATAACTTGATCACACACCATTTCAACTAAAATAAATCCTGTATGAAAGTATCGACTGTATTTTTTTATATTTTTTTTTGAGATAATATTTCTATCAACAAAAAAAAAAATAAGGTGAATATAATATCATTATATTGTATTACAATTAAATATATATTAACCCTCTGAGTGGTAAATACTTTTAACTAAAATGCTTTGTAGTAATGGAATAATTTATTATTAAATAGATTCTAATAATAAATTATATTTAATAATTCAAGTTTTTCTTTCTGAATATAATTTAATGAATTAATGTAAACATTACATTATTTTGAATATAATAGCATTATATTATATTACAATTAAATATGTATTAATCCTTTGAGTGTTGAATACTTTTAACTAAAAATGTTTTGTAGGAACGGAATAATTTATTATTAACTAAATTTGATTATATATAATAAATAAAAAGATACAAGAAATATACGAAAATTAAATATAAATAATATTAAATAAATTAATAATATATAAATTATATAGAAAAAAAATATAAAATTATATATTTAATATAATTAAAGTTTCAAGTTACTAAATATAAATTATTAAATATAATTATATTTAATAATTCAAGTTTTTGGTTTTAAATATATATAATTTAATTTAATTAATATAAACATTACATTATATTTTACATTAATATTAGCAAACACGTATATGCGTCGAACAACAAAGTTAATAATTTTTACCAAACGCATATATGCGTGCATATATCTAACCATATATATATATTTAAACATAGCACTCTAAGGGTTAAACAAATCAAATATTTTTATACATATTGATCGAATATTAAATGAAAACTTTAACGACTAACATAAAAAAAAAGAAAAAACAGATAAATCGAGTAGTATAATAGCCAAGGTCTTTGTTTCATTGTTTGCCATCATCGTCATGGAAACTATAGGAAAGTATATGTCGTATGTGAATCCAAGGTATAATATACCCCTAAGGGTATAAGACATAAGGAAGCACTAAAGCTTCATTTGTAAGTTCGTCGTGTTTAGGAATCGTACATGTGTCTCATCCTTAATTATACACTATCACTACCACAACCAATCACCTTTTTCTCTTTCACCCTTTATTTCTTACTCTTCGTGTAATAATAGGACTAGTTCGATGATACTTTGATGAATCCCTTCGTGTTGATAATAAACCTATTAATTGGAGTGGCATCTACGTATTTCGAGTATCACTGATAATCATCGATCAATTGAATTAGAAGACGAGTGGGTTATACAGGTATGTACGAGAGAAACATATACATACATAGAGAGAGAGAGAGAGAGAGAGAGAGAGAGAGAGAGAGAGAGAGAGAGGATAATGATAACGAGAACTAGGAAGAGGAATGTCAATTAATTTAATTAATTAAACACAATTTAGAATTTTCATCTAAAATTTGAAATGTAATCTTTCTTATCATAATGTGTCATACTGTTTCATACTTTGATTAACACATTGACTGAGAGACATATTTAAAGCATCTTGCTTTAAATTTTGAAATATATAATAATATTAAGTTACTGATATAATATTGTAATGGTATTTAGATAGATAGATTGTTTATTTAGTTTTCTCAGCTATTTTTATGCGAGTATACATAATATAATATTATATAATATAATACAAAACAATAAACTATAAAAATAATATAATAATAATCTAATATAAAAAAGAAGAGAAAAATATACTCTAATATAATAATATAATATAATATAATATAATATAATACAAAACAATAAACTGTAGAAAGAATATAATAATAATCTAATATAAAAAAAGATATATACTCTTATATAATAATATAATAAAATACAAATAATATTTACATTTATATTATATAATATTTAAAATAATTGATAATTAATATTTTTTTTGTAATTATATAATTAAATTTGCAATTATTTATTATTAATGATTAATTATCAATTAATCTAAAATTGCAGTAAATCCTACGAGATATCTCATAATTTACAGTCAATGGATTAAATTATTTTCTATCTCTCTTAGGAATTTTATCTTGAAAGAAACAGAAATCTCTTTCTTTATATTTCTCTATTTCTGTTTCTTTTCTTTCTTTTAACGAAAAGAGTTTTCCTTTCCAGAGGGAAAGATAGTCTGGTTCTGGTCTGGCACACTGTATAAAATTCCATCGACTTTTGTCTTACCGAGCTCGACAACTCGTTGAGTTGAAGCCTCGGATCACAAGGTACAAACGCGACAAGAATTCGTATGCGGTTTTCTCTTCTACTCTCTTTCTCTTGGTTGGGTAGTAGGTTGGTTGGTTGTACGTGTGTATGTGTGTGTGTGTGTGTTAGTGGCTTTCCAGATTCAAAAGTTTGTCTTAACTTAACAGCTAAAGTATAAAAATCTCGTTTGCTCTCTTGCTGCTGCTGCTGCTGCTGGCTGCTGGCTGCTACTACTAGCCTATTGGAAAGTGAAAAACGTTTGGATGTATATATGTATGTATGTGTATGTCGGTGAAAAGGGAAGAAGAATAATATATAGCCTGGCTAACGGATATAAAAATAAAAAGGAAGAAAGTAAGGAATAAAGAAAGAAAGAGAGAGAGAGAAAGAGAGTGAGAGAAAGAGGAAAGAAAAATAAGGAAAGTATTCTCTTTTTTCTCTAAATCCAGTGAAACGGTAAAATGCCAATTGATTTTTATTACTTTCCTCTGAGTCCACCATGCCGAATGATTTTATTGCTCGGCAAAGCGATAGGTGTGCACTTCAACTTGAAATCGATCAATCCATTGAAGGGTGAACAAATGAAGGCAGAATTTTTAAAGGTTCATTTTTTCTTTTTTCATACTCCATATAAACTTACTTACTAACTTATTTTCTTTTTTCTTTAAGTATTTCTTTTTAATTCTATTATTTTTATTCTTTACTTTTAACCCTTAGAGTGCTTTTCTAACGTATATGTATTTAATAAAAATGACTAACTTTATTATTCGACGCATATACGTGTTTGTTAACACTTTAATGGTCGCTCACACAACATGTGTGTGATAACCGAAAAAATAGCCGTTATTTTATTTATAACTTTATATATATATATATAAAATTAAATTTGTTGTTAAATTGTTGTTTTTTGTTAATTGTTTTCGTAAATGATAATAAAGTTGTTTTTAAAGTTAATTTTTGAAAAATATTACCGGATCCCTGACGTCGTTTGACTGCGTACACGTGCTGCCATTAATGTGTTAATATTATATAGAAAATAATGTAATGTTTATATTAATTAATGAAATTATGTTCATAGAAAGAAAAACTTGAATTATTAAATATAATTTATTATTAGAATCTAATTATTAATAAATAATAAATCTTTTCCGAAAATATATATATATATATATATATATATATATATATATATATATATATANATATATATATATGTATTATTTCGTTTTAGATCAATCCTCAACACACTATACCAACTATCGATGACAATAATATCGTTTTATGGGAAAGGCAAGTATTCTTTTTTTTTTAAATAAAAATAATAATAATAATAATTAATTAGAAATTATTTGGATAATATTTGTACAGTCGTGTTATAATGCAATATTTGGTTGAAAAATATGCCAAAGATGATTCGTTGTATCCAAAGGATCCTAAAAAACGTGGTAAAGTGGATCAAATGTTATACTTTGATATAGGCACGTTGTACGATAATATTGCTAAATGTTACGTAAGTTTAAATATAATATTATATATATATATATATATTTGTAATTTGTTCTTTTTAACACTTTAAATCTTATTTCGTACAGTTTCCAATATTTTTGGGAAAAAGAAATACCTTGGACGAGAAGGCTGTAGAAAAGTTGGAAAAATCTTGCGATGTATTAAATGCATTTTTAAATGACAATGATTACGTTGCTGGTGATAATTTAACTATTGCTGATTTTAGCATATCAACGAGTATCGTCATGTTGGAGGTTTGCTAAAGTCAATTGATATTTAAATTGTTCCAGTTTTTTTTTTGGTTTGTTTTTTTCTCTTGAGTAATTTTCCACAGATTATTTGAATCAATCGTAATAAAGTGATAAACGAATTGGGTTATCTTATCATTAATTATGTTATTGTTTTTTTTTTTTTTGGTTTCATTTGCAGACATTCGAATTTGATATCAGTCGTTACGATAATGTGGTTGCTTGGTACGATCGATGTAAAACTGTCATGGAAAAATTTGGTTTCGAGGAAATTCATGCACCTGGAAAACAAATATTCAACGAAGCATATCGTGCTAATTTGACCCAAGTAGTTTAATTAAGTATGCTCGTAGGGATATTACGTTGACGTAGTTTTGTATTATTCATATGCCAATCGAAATTAAACACAATTTCTCTGGTCGTCCACCATCACCGTCACCACCACCGCTTTTCGTTCCGTTTTAGTTGTTACGAATCATAAAGAAAAAGTTGGAAAGACAGAGAGAGAGAGAGAGAGAGAGAGAGAGAGACGGACAGAAAAAAAACGGGTAGGTGGAGGGCAGGGGAGTAGGAGGAGGAGAAAGGAAACTATCGAAAGAGCAAACTTTTTTAATAAAAGCTTTTGAGTTTGTATAAACTTCACGCATCGTTTCTCCTTGCCATTGAAACGGTCGTCCGCCGTTTCTCGTTGCGGAGACCCGCGTGCGGAACCTTTTTTAAAGGTCCCTAAATTCCATTCGTTCAACATTCTGTTTTTTTTTATTGTAAATCATTGTCATATAACATGCGCCACTTGGTATATAAATTTTTTTGTTTTGTTTTAAATTAATAAAATTTGATTTCATTTTTTGTTTTCTATTACTTGTTTTATATTTGAATTTTTTCTATTTTATTTTATTATCTAATAATGATTTGAAATTATTTTATATTCGTGTATTATTTACAAGCTTGTTAATATTTATTTAATTTAAAATGAAAATAAAATTTTTATTATCTCTCTCGCTATTGTGTTGTTTGAATACAAAATTTACGTAAAATATTTTGAAGCTTGACCAAGAAAATGTTTTTTTTTTTTTTTTTTTTTTTTTTTTTTTTTTTAACGAACTAAGTAAGAGATCAAATCTTCTACGTCGTTCAAAACTACTACTACTACTATTACTACTACTACGTTAAATAAAAACATAAACACAATGTAAACAATGGGTAAACACCTAAGTAAACTCATCGTGAAGTTTCCTTCCCGCTTATGTCAGAGTCAATGTAAACTTTCTCGATGGGGATGACATTCTCCTATTGTTTATCTGTTTCAATAACAATACAGAAGAACATCTTTGACTTAAACAAGTATATAAATTGTAAAAATCATTATTGGCTTTATTTTTATTTAGTTCGTGTACGTCGATTTAAGAAGAAGCATCGTTTCGTTCTCGTTGATCGTTTCTAAAATTTTCATTGAATTAAAATAATAATAATAATTAATTAATCAAATATTTCTTTGAGATATTTAAAATCATTAATAGAGCAAAAGTATTTATTTCTAATATCTTCATACATAGATGTGTAGTAATATATGAAATTATTTATATATTATTTTATATTATATATTACTATTTTTTTTATTTATATTTATATAATATTACTATATAATATATTATTATTGTATATTTATTTTATACAATTAAATATATATATATGATATTATTAATATTATTATTTTTATTATTATTATTACTATTATTATTTTATATATTATATATTATATAATTTAATTTAAAATAAAATATAAATATCAAAATTTTAATTATTAATTTTAACTTAATTTATATATAACCTTATATATATATATATATATATATATTATACGAACAGAGTATAACATATTTCAAATTGTCTATTATTTTTCACAAACGTGTATCCTCACATTACCAAGAACGTTATATATATATATACATACCGTTACATCTATATATAGAGTTTAGTTGATAATATAATCTTATAAACGTGAATTACATCATTCTCTCTTTATTGCTTGATAATAACGTTACCGAGACGAAATATAGCACGTGCGGTCTCCCGAATTAAAGGAAGGATAGGAAGAACGATGTTGGTTCGTTCTAGCTAGCTAGCTAGCTATCTAGCTAGCTAGTGGACTCGATGAGAGATGCTTTTCACCATCGTGTTTCTGTTGGAATCTATTTACTGTAAACGGATGAAGGGAAGAGTAGTGAAGAACGCGCTTTGAGTTGGTTCGTTACTTGCTTGCTTGCTTACTTGCTTGCTTGCTTGCTTGCTTGTTTCGTTGGTATAGTTCGAATAGAAGAAGAAGAAGAACAAGAAGGAAGAAGAAGAAGAGGAACAGAGGATGATTCTGCTGACGGTGTTAAAACGGCGTACAACTACTGAGATTATTCCGGGCGGATAGAAAACGTACCACTAGATTATAAACCCTCGAAAGTAATAAAAAGAATGAAAGTGAAAGAGAGAGAGAGAAAGATAGAAGTTTATAATGGAATTTCCATTGAATTCCTCTAACACTCCTGGTTGTTATACTACGAGTAATAATTACTAAAAGAACGAGTTACGTGGATTCGTTGAGGATAAGGGGGATGAGGAGGGGTTGGGGACAGGGGGATTGGGGTTTCCTTTGGTCCTTAATATCATCACCTGTCCCTGCGTGTTGTTTCGTTCATTCGGTAATAACAAATGAACGAAGCAATTCCTTTTACCACGATCATTCTGTTTTCTCTCCTTTCATCTATAGGTATTCTCTCTTCCTCTCCCCTTACCCCCTTACCCATCACCTATTGGATCTCAATTTGCATCAAAACGCGATTCTGAAAGTTCAATTATTTTTTGATTGCTATGCCAATTACAAAGTGGGGGAGACGAAATCAATTCTTTCCCGCGTTTAGTTGTGCGATTGGGATATAGAAGATAGAAAAAGAATGAAATAAAGTTAGAGAGAGAGAGAGAGAGAGAGAGAGAGAGAGAGAGAGAGAGAGAGAGAGAAATAGAAAAGAAAAAGAAAATAATAAAAGTATAGAGTCCAATAGAGTGGATGAATTTTTAAAAAGACTGGATTTTAATCGAAATTTTTTACTNGAGAGAGAGAGAGAGAGAGAGAGAGAGAGAGAAATAGAAATAGAAAAGAAAAAGAAAATAATAAAAGTATAGAGTCCAATAGAGTGGATGAATTTTTAAAAAGACTGGATTTTAATCGAAATTTTTTACTTTATTTTGTCTATGATATCGAAATGTTCAATTATATAACAACGACGATGATTTATATTATTATAATAAATTATTATATATATTATATATATTATATAATAAATATTTTTATATTTAATTATAATTAATTATTATTATTTAGTTAATATAATTATATTATATTATAAATATATTATAAGATAAATATATATTATATTATATAATATAATATAAAAAATTATTATATATAATTTATAAATATAATAAAATTAATATATTATTCTTAAGTAATAAATTAAAATAATAAAAAAAAATTATAAAAACTATATATATATAAATAGTTAATGAAACACATTTATTATTATACATATATTTATTTCTTTTATTATTGTTATTATTATTATTATTTGAAATTAATCGCAAATAATAATAATGGTAATTGGATGTGGTTAACTAAAAAACTTCCATAACTATTTTATCTATTTTATTTTGGTTTCATTGGTTTTTATCTTGCAATAGAAAATATAATTATTGTTAATAGAAAGAGAAAGAAAGAAACAGCAGCAATTGCGTAACAGTCGGCAACACTCGAACTGGTCTTCTTCTTCTTCTTCTTCTTCTTCTGTGCTGTGGATGACGAAGCAGAAATTCGTTTCCGACCGCTCGAAAATCCGGTTCTACTTCGGCCAAGGAGGAACCAACCATTCCATACCAAACCATACCATACCATTCCATCCCCCATCCCCATCACCATCCCCATTCCATTCCATTCCATTCCATTCCATTCCTTCCTTCCTTCCTTCCTTTTCTACCAGAGATTCTGTTCATCCTTCAGAAGTAATAAGATCGTACAACTTGCGCGTTTCACCGGACGTAAAACTTGTGACGAGAGAGAGAGAAAGATAGAGAGAGAGAGAGAGAGAGAGAGAGAGAGAGAGAGAGAGAGAGCATGAAAACGCTAAAAAAATCTAATTGTAATCTTTTTCTCGTTTCAGGGATAAGCTTACGATTTCCACGAGAGATAAAAGAAATCTTCTTAATATAAACGTGATTCTTCGACAAAAAATCTCTTTTAGTTTTTTATTATTTTGTATTTTTTATTTTTTAACTCAACTAACCAAAGTCAACCGATTGTGCGGATTTATTTTTCTTTTTTCTTTCTTTTTCTACAAGATTACAATTACATATATGTATATAATCTTGTAAGAAAAATAAAACTAAAAAGTAAAATTAAAAAAAAAAAACAAAAAATAAAGAAAATAAAAGTAAAACAAATAAAAATTAATAAAATAAAAATGTAACAAATAAAAATAATATTAAAAATAAAATAAAATAAAAGTTATATGTAAAAGCTATAAATATATGTAGTTAAAATATATATATATATATATAGTTATATATAGAAGTTATAAATATATATATATATACGTAGTTATATGTAGAAATTATAAATATATATAATTAAAATATATACATATTTATATATAGAAATTATAAATATTTATAATTAAAATTTATATGTAGTTACATGTAGAAGTTATAAATATATTAAGTTAAAATATATATATGTATATATATAGTTTTATATGTCGTTAAAAGTTTAATTAAAAATCCGTGATTTTGTCTATCGTCAAATGCAACAACGATTATTTTGTAGACGAACAACTAGTGTACTTTAATAAAAAGGTTTTCAAACTTTCCTGGAAATAATAAGAATGTGAAATCAATTTAACAATTATAAAGGGTTTAAATACCATGAATAATCGAAAATGAATTCAACTGCTAGATAATTAACGTTAAAGCACGAATTTCGTCAATTTAAACTTCACCTTTTCTTCTTCTCCCTTCTCCTTTTTATTTTTTTTTTTTTTTTTATTTTTCCCTTCCATGAATGTACGTGTGTGTTTGTGTCTGTGTGTGTATTTTTTTTGTGTTCTTCCTTTTGTGCAGTCAAACTTAACGTTTTTACAAGCTGACTACTATCTTTGCTTGCACATAGTGAAAGAAAAAGAGAAAGAGAAAGAGAGAGAGAGAGAGAGAGAGAGAGAGAGAGAAAGTCGTTAGAAACACGCGCAAACGAGAGTAAGTCGAGCGTATAAAATGGTTCCTTTTCCTTTTCTACTGCACCCCCATACCCCTTCCCCCTCAGCCATAGAAAAGGATTCGCGGCTTTAGAAAAGTTCTTCTTTTCGATCCTTTAGACAACGGTCGTTTTGTCGTCCCTTGGGCGTATTCAAACTCCGAAGGAATCATTTGCAATAGGGAAAAGTAGGTCATAAGAGTTTTTAAACTCACTCTCTTTCTCTTTCTCTCTCTCTCTAACTCTATTTCTCTCTTTCACCTCTCTTTCTCTCACTCTCTCTCTCTCTCTCTTGTACTTATCGATCCTCGACTGTGTACGTTTATGCAAAGTGATTTTTCCCTTCGCCACCTTCTATTCAGCTATTTTTCATAGGGGTTATGGGTGGGGGTATTTTAAAATAAAAAATAAAAAAAAAAACAAAAAAAAAGTAAAATACGACCATAGTCAATCAATAAACTATTACTCTCTGCGCATGAAATCGAATGATTTTCCAACGTGTTGCATGCATTGCTCATACTTCTAGCAATATTATGAGTTCAATGAACTTCATTTTATAAATTTTATATATACTATGTATTATATATATATGAAGAATATTATTATTATTATTATTATTATTATTATTATAGGTATATAAAGTTTATTTAGTCGATTATTTTTGAATATATTTTTTGTTGATAAATGTTTGGTATATAAATGATCGATATTAAATTATTATTAGATGTGTGTGTTAGTATGATGTAATAATGTGAACGTTAATATAAAGACACCGAAATTTGATTTAATATTTAATTATTTATTACTCAACGAAATATTTCGTATATATTGATCATTTATTTGACAAAGTAGGTAATTAAACTGCCGACAAAGTAAATAGAAGTTAATTATATTTACAATATACATATATATATATATATGTATTACAAATAAGCATTAACGTAGATAATGATTTGAAAATATTTTTCATATTTTATTTAGAATAAATGATCATTCGATGTTTATAATAAATTATAAATGTGTATTAACATGTGTGTACTATAAAGGAACCAAATTCGTATTGATAATAAATAATTAAAATCAAATGTAATATTATTACAAATATGTCTGTCCAATTTATTTAATATATTATTTATTATTTAATTATGAAAAATATTATAGAAAATAAATAGAAATTAAATAATAATAATTTAAATTTAATAACAAATTATTAATCATGTAAGTACATATATATATATATATATATATATATATATATATATATGTTTTTCTTTTTGTTTCACATAATTATTAAATATTATAAATAAATGATTAACGATATAACAACATAAACTTTCCAATAGAGGACTGAAATTCGATTCGAGATACTTAATAATTGATACATTAACTAAAATATTCTCGTGCATATGTTAAATAAATGATAATTTATAATTCACCTCAATCATCATTATTAATAATAATAGTATTAAAAAAAATATATATATATATATAATTAAATAATAAAACCTGAAGAAAGATGTATTTATAGTTCGTTCATATAAATAGTTTTCCTTTGCGAAATTGGAACGTGAAAGAAATTAGAAATGTCATTTTTTGTATTATTTTTTCTTTTTTCTTTTTTTTCTATTTCTGTCCTTCTTCTTCTTCTTTTTCTTCTTCTTCTTCCTCCACGCTCGGGGCAATTTTAGCCAGGTCATGTTAAGAATCGCGATGTATAGAAAAATAAAGAATAAAAGTCAGATCGACTATTGTGTCGTCCAATAGGAAAAAGAGAAAGATAAAAAAGAAAAATGGTAAGAAAAAAGATAAGGAGAAATAGGTGGGGGATGATGGGGTGGATGGATGACACGCGATATTTTTTCTAAACACTTGCCAATGTGCAACAGCAACACCTTCGAATGAGTCAGCACACATAACTTTTTCCTGATATATCCGTGAAGAAAATCTATCCGTGTAAATAAAAAAATATAAAAAAATAAAAACCAAAAATTAGGCCTCGTATATATAAAAGTATTATATATATAT